CACACACACCCCTTCCCCTCTGAGGGAGCGGGCCGGGCCACACACACGCACACACACCACACACACACACCACACACACCCCTTCCCCTCTGAGGGAGCGGGCCGGGCCACACACATGCACACACACCACACACACACACCACACACACCCCTTCCCCTCTGAGGGAGCGGGCCGGGCCACACACACACCACACACACACACACACCACACACACACACAAACACACCCCTTCCCCTCTAAGGGAGCGGGCCTGCAAAATACACAAGGAAGTTTTCGTATATTTATCCATTCAATCAATCATTACATTTTAGATTTAAGCTAATATAGAATGCCCTGGTGACTACACAAACATTTGAACAGTGAAGCCTCTTTCTTTAGAAACACTGGACATCAATTAATAGCCGTGGGGATCAGTCAACCCTCCGGGTGGCATCTATTAAAAAAAGTTGCTGCCTAACTGCAGCCACCCTGATCCTAACGGGCAGTTAATATCTGCTCTGGGAATGTGAACTAACTTCCATAAATATGAAGACGATGACATTTTTTGCAGTCAAGGACTCTGGTTTACTAATTTCAATATTTTTTTGATAAAGACAGGCCTGAAATTTTCAATGTGCATAGGAATCAGCTAGGGATCTTGTTAAAATGCAGAGTCAATACGAATTAATACTTTGGGTTCATAAAAAGAACACCAAAGCCTTTGGTGTGTATCTAATCTTACCAAAATTCTATTCCATAGCAAATCTTCCTCAAAGCAATGATCCAACAAAACTAATTTTATAAGTTATTTGCTGTCAGTATGGAATATTCAATCGGTGTTAATTGATTATAAAATATTACCAACTGTAAAAGTAACTACATTTTATTTCATTTCCTTAATGCTATCTATGTGTGGATCAGGGATTTTTCAAATGGTTTCCTGATTGCAGAAATATTCACTATATATTACCCCTGGGACCTTAAACTGTCATCCTTTGAAAATGGAACTTCTTTGAAAGTCAAGTTGGATAACTGGGCACAGCTGGAGCAGGTAAATTAGCAGTCATTGACACTTTGTTAAGAATTTTGTGTTTTTAAAGGTGTACTCCTGAACTCTTGGATATCTACACATATGTGTGTGTGGCTACTGAGTTGGCAGCTCATTTCCCTGTATTGAAAAGAATGTTGTTAAAGCTTGTCATGAGTCACTTATGAAACTGAGCATACTCATTTCAAATTAGAGTGGGACAGAATAATTGGTTTCCTTGCTGAAGAATAATATCTTTTAATAATTACCACGTTAAACACAAAAAAAATTAGTTGAGAAACAAAAGGGGGATTAAAGTGAATTCCTAGTAATTGGAGATTTATATAGAACTTCTTATAATGAAAATTCTTTCTTTCTACTATTAAAGTTCCTGGCAAGAAAAAAAATTAAATTACCTAAAGAGCTAATCTATGGAACAATTCATTGCAAAGCTGGAGTACCTGAAATCCTGATCCAAGAGGTTTATACCTTGTTAACACATCGAGAGTAAGTCATTCGGAATTTTTCTAGCGCTACAATTTAACATGAAAATTTTAATATCAGTCTCATTACTAAAATGTGGCTTGTGAACAGTATTTTATTTATTTCCAGAATTAAAAGTATCCAGGATGACCTCGTGAATTTCACAGACTATAGTTACCAGATGCGTTTGCCCCTAGTTCCTCGGTCTACAGCTTCAAAGTTGATTAAAGATAACATCAGGTTATCAGAAATAATAAGCAATCCCAACATGCTCAGCAATGAACTTAAAGTAGAGTTCCTCTTACTTCTACAAATGTTGCAAAGAAAATTAAGCAGAAAACTGAATCCAAGTAAGTTTTCCTTGGAAGTAGTCAATTGAGTTCTTCCCAACTTAATGAGGCTATACTTGAGTACAAATGAAAGAAAAGCTGGCCATTGTCTGTCCCATTTCTGCTTTTTCTGTCCCAGGCTTAAAGGGAAAATAGTTCTCTTATGCCAGCAGTGGTACGATTTATTATCATTGGAGTGGTTTATGTAATAATTTTTCTAATGCAAACATAGCTTAACTGAGTGTATTAATACTTTTAAGAAAAACGTTAGTGAAAGTGTTCACATAAAATTTTGTGGGAAATAAGAGATTCACATATCATCTCAAGTTACTAAAGAGGATGGGAATATTTAAGACTTCATCAGGATATAAGTACTTTAGGAAAAGCCTGGACTACCGTGATTCATTCCAGATGCTTTCTAGCGTATGATCAGTGTTACCCTTTCTGTAGTAGCTTCCGTATGTAGATTGGGTAAGGTAAGGCAGATTGGGGCAACCCAAGGCAACTTTCCAGAGATACCGCTGAAATAATTCTCAAAGCATCCAAAGCATTTGCCATCAGAGTCCCAACAGATGGCAAGTTAGTGAACTTTTTCTCTCTTTTTTTGTTGTTTTTGTTTTTGCTTTTGCTTTTCTAACACCACTCGTGTCCTGGAATTTTGTAGTCCTTGATTCCAGACACTTAGTGACTTTATCGTGATGGTGGCACCCAAACCATTAATGAATAGGGCAGCTGTAGTCATTAGGATTTTGCTCTTTTGAACCCCAGTTTTCTGAAGAGCCATTTTCTCTCTAGTCCCTGGAAGGAAACAAGAGCAGTAACTGTCACTTCCCCCTATCTCTGAGTTGGATATCTTGGATTTCGTCCTCTGTTACTCTGGTCATCTTCCATTGCCTATCAGTTTTTTTGTTTCTCTTCCTTGATTTGCTCTCCTTTCTGGTTCCACTCATGAGTTTGTGAGTAGAGAAAGAATTGAGTTTATTAATCCTGTTGTGCAATTGTGTATTCAAATTCTTTTGTATGTTTTTAAACATTAAAATTCTGCTGTGATTTTTGTCATACATGCATGCATATAATGTGTATGTACGATTTAAAGAAGACAATGAATAAATATTTCTGAATCCCTTTATGGTCTAGGAAGTGGCACATTACCAATACCTTTACATTCTGCTGGTGTCCTTCTTACTGCATTCTCCATAGTTCCCTCTGAGAGTCACCACTGTCCTGCTGCCCTTGTTTGTAATTTCCTTGATGTAAAAAAAAATAGTTCATGCATGCATACAATTTATGTTCTTCTTAATTTCATTCATATGTATTTCTTAATTTAGATTTTATCCGTCTTTGTAGTAGGCAGAATGGGGGCCCCATGTTGTTCATGCCCCAATCCCTGGAACCTGTGAATATGTGGCATTACATGGCAAGAGAGGCTTTGCAGAAGTTGCTTTTGTTTTCCTTTGCTCATTTGTTTTGTTTCTTAAATTCCACATATGAGCAAAATCATATGGTATTTGTCTTTCTCTGATTTATTTCCCTTAGCATTGTACTCTCTAGCCCCATCCATGTTGTTGCAAGTGGCAAGATTTCATTCTTTTTTATGGCTGAGTAAAATTCCACACCACATCTTCTTTATTCATTTATTGATGGACACTTGGGCTCCTTCCATAGTTTAGCTGGAGTGAATAATGCTGCAATAAACATAGGGGTACATTAATTCCTTTGAATTAGTGTTTTTGTATTCTTTGGGTAAATACCCAATAGCATGATTACTGGATTGTAGTAATCATGGTACTTCTGTTTTTAAGGAAACTCCATACTGTTTTCCACAGTGGCTGCACCAGTTTGCATTCCTACCAACAGTGCATGAGGGTGCCTTTTTCTCCATATGCTCATCAACACTTGTTGTTTCTTGTGTTGTTGATTTTAACCATCCTGACAGGTGTGATTATAGTTTTGATTTGCATTTCCCTAATGATGAGTGACATTGAGCATCTTTTCATGTCTGTTGGCCATCTGGATGTCTTCTTTGGAGAAATGTCTGTTTATGTCTTCTTCCTATTTTTAAATTGGATTATTTGGTTTTTTAGGTGTTGAGTTGTATAAGTTCTTTATATTTTTTGGATACTAACCTTTTATCAGGTAGGCCATTTGCAAATATCTTCTCCCATTCCATGAGTTGCCTTATAGTTTTGTTGATTGCTTCCTTCACTGTGCAAAAGCTTTTTATTTTGATGTAGTCCCAATAGTTTATTTTGTTTTTATTTCCCTTGCCTCAGGAGACATATATAGAAAAATGTTATGTTAGCCTTTCACTTTGAAAATTTTTTCAACTTTATTGAGTTATAATTGACAAATAGAAATAATATATATTTAAGGTATACAACTTGATGTTTTGATGTACATATATATTGTATAATGATCACTGCAATCAAACATATCCAACTCCTCACATGATTGCCATTTTCTTTGTTTCTTTCTTCTTTTTGTTTTTCCTTGTTTGCTTGGTGTGGTGAGTATGCTTACGATCAATCCTCTTAGCATCAAATTTCAAGTACATGATACACTATTAACTATAGTCACCATGCTATGTATTAGACCTGCAGAATTTATCCATCTTGCATACCTATGATCAGCATCTCCCCATGTCCCCTTCCCCCAATCCCTGGACATTACCATTCTACTCTGCTTCTATGACTCTATTTTAGAGTCCACCTAGAAGTGAAATCATGCAGTATTATTTTTCCACATCTGGCTTATTTCACTTAGCCTAAAGGTTGATTAATATTCCATTAATATTCCATTGTGTGTGTGTGTGTATACACATACATATCACATTTTCTTTACACATTCATGCATTTTCATATCTTCAGTGATTGTGAATAATGCTGCAATGAACATGGAGGTGCAGATACCTCTCTGAAATACTGATTTCATTTCCTTTGGATATATACCCAGAAGTGGTATTGTTGGATCATATGGTAGTTCTATTTTTAATTTTGGGTCTCCATGCTGTTTTCCATAATGGCTGTACCAATTTACATTCCACCAACAGTGTAGAAGGGTTCTCTTTTCTTCCACATTCTCACCAACACTTTTTATACTTTGTCTTTTTTGATAATAGCGATTCTAACAGCTATATGATGATATATTTTTGTGGTTTTGATTGCATTTCCCTGATTCCTGATCATGATTAGTGATGTTGAGTACCTATTTATATACCTGTTGGCCATTTGTATATCTTATTTTTTTAAGATTTTTTTTCTTTAAATTTTTTATTGTTATGTTAATCACCATACATTACGTCATTAGTTTTTGATGTAGTGTTCCATGATTCATTGTTTGTGCATAACACCCAGTGCTCCACGCAGAACGTGCTGTCTTTAATACCCATCACCAGGCTAACCCATCCCCCCACCCCCCTTCCCTCTAGAACCCTCAGTTTGTTTTTCAGAGTCCATCGTCTCTCATGGTTCGTCTCCCCCTCCGATTTACTCCCCTTCATTCTTCCCCTCC